TCTTTTGTAACATTTAAGTGGATTATATAAATTTGTTGAATATGATTTTTTTTCTACAATGACTAAAGAAAGTTCTCCCGTGTTAGGAAAGAATCAAATTCTTCATGATTGACCATTTACTCAAGATTGAGTCACAGGACTTAAGAAAGCCTGATAACTAAATCTTAACATTAAAAATTCTTATATTTCATGATATGGTATCTTGGATTTTCTTCAAATTAAAATAAGATGAAGCCAAAGCATGTGTGAAGGTATAAATGAAACAAGATTGACCATGAGTAGATAATTAGTGAAGCTGGGTAATAAGAATTTGTAATTCATTGTACTGTTCTCCTTACTTTTGCATATTTGAGATTTTTTATGATAATAAAGTTGAAACAAGAAAGATCATAATTGTAGCCTAAAACATTGTGATTATTTCAACCTTCAAGTGATAAGTTCAGGTTGAAATATATTGCCAAGATGTGTTACTTAGGTAAACTCTAAAAATCACAAAAGGATCCTAATGGACATTGTCGTGAATAAATAGTCTCACATAATTCCCCATTTAGAAAACTGAGGTGAGCTCCTTGGCAGCTAGTGTGGCAGCCTGATTTCCAAAGTGGGCCATAATGATATCACCCAGTTCAGGGCTTTCTTACCATGTGACTCTGGTAACCCCTTGCATTGACAGCTGGGCTGTGTATGTACTCTCTTGAACCTGGGAGAGCTAGTAACTCCAGCAGAAGTGATAATATATGAATCTAGGTTATAAAAGGTAATAAAACTTCTGCCTAGCTCTCTAGGTATGTGCCTGATTCTTCTTGAAACCCAACATCCTGCTGGGGGGAAGACAAGCAGCTACGTGTAGCACCCTTGCACAGATGTTCCAGCAGATGGTCCCTGCTTAGGTTCCAGTTGTTAGCCAGTATCAGCCTCTGGACATGGAAGCCGGTGAGCATCCTAGTGGTTACAGCTCCAGCCAGCCAGTAACCACCATCTTTCAAAACTTCCCGGCCAAGGCCCCAGACACCATGGGGTAGAGATAAGCCTATTCTGCTTTCCCCTTTTTGAATTCTTACCCACTGAATCTGTGAGCAGAATGAAATGCTTGTTGATTTAAGCAACTAAATTTGGGATGATTTGTTACACAGCAGCGGTAACTACATCAGTCAGCATGTGTTATTGAGGAGAACTTTATTTCTCAGTGATCATCTCTTTCCCTAACATGTTTAAAAGATACATGTTTACTCAGTGACTGTGTTCTGATTATTCACGATGTTTACTATGTCCATCAACATGATGACTTCCAAATCAGGAGTCAGCTGAGGATCATCAGTTGTTCCCTCAAATAGAGTAGTTTGCAACTAGGCAGTCAGATGTGTCAGATCTTACTCCATATTCCCTCTTCAAAAGGAAATCCCTGTCCTCCTGGCAATCTATCCAGAACCATGAAGATTCCCTTGTTGAATTAGGAGCAAAGAAGAGAACAAGCTCATCTGTGGAGAGGGAAGGGGAATATCAAGGAGCCTTTCTCTGTCCATTTTGACCTGAATCCCTGCTTCTTTACTGTGTAAGCAACACCCTTTATTGCTGCACACATAGCTGGTGCTTCTTCTGTCTGATTCCATCATACTTTTCACTTCACACTGTGTCATGAAAAAATGAATCTAATTCTTTTCAGTGATAAGCAGAATAAAAGTGTCAGCACTTCTCTTGGTGTATGATATGTCTACCAAGACTTTATTCATACTCTGCACATGGGTGTTTTATCCAGGTGTATGGCAGCTACCTGCTAATTTAATTCTTATTTGTAGTGTTGCATCGCTCAGGTTTGATGGTGGGTCCTCATGTGTTTGCTATGTTTTTAATTATATATGTCTATATGTCTTAAATATTTAACAATATGCACACATATATTATAGTAATTAGTAACTCTTCATCTGTACTTTTGTCAATGATATCACGTGACATCCATTGGTGCCATAATAATGGAATTTTTCCAGTATTCCATTGTTTTCTTTCCAAGCATCACAGCGGTCCTTACTTAGTGAATAACTTTACAAGCTTCTCAGTTGTATGATACTTTTATTTGAGGGTGTGTTTGCTCTAAGAAACACCTCTTTTTTAGAGAGAGGGAGAGAGCAAGGGGTGAGGAGGGGCGAGGGAATCTCAAGTAGGCTCCACACTCATTGTGGAGCCTGATGCAGGACTCAATCCCATGACCCTGAGATCATGACCTGAGCCAAAATTATCAGTCTGATGCTCAACAGACCAAGCCACTCAGGTGCCCCAAGAAATGCCTGTTAATAATGATGGCAGTCCATCCTTGAGAGTTGAAATTAATAAAATTTGTTCTGAAAAACATCACTTTGTAGCATACTTTGGGGAAAAAAAAGTAGAAAGATCACTGCACAAGATCTGTTGAACATCTCCTTTTCCTGATAAAACAGACGTTCTTCATGAAAACATTAACTGGGTCCATTATTTTAAAGGAATGCAGTTTAGTACATTATACATCAAACTATACCCCTAAACAATTTCCTAAACACAGTCTATTATTAGTGACAAACTAACATGTGAAGATGAATTGTTTAGCATGTTACTTCCTGGTCAGCAAACATTTAATGTGGTTGTTAACAAGCACCTGCTTTGTATGCAGAAAAAGGTACATTTTGCATAAGGTACCATAAATGTTATGTTTATGATACAAAGTAACAAATGATGTGCTCAATAAATAAAATTTATTAGAAAAAATGCAGATAAAAATGTGCAATAAAAGCAGGTAATTTCCTATCATAGACTATTACCTAGTAAAGTAGAGACTTAGAGCTTGAAGAACAGTTAAGAATGGAGGAGAAAGGAGAGTTAATCAGTCATTTTTTTCATTGATGGTTAGGGAAGGACATGGGCTAGAATTGGGTATTCAAGGGGATATTTTAGAGACAATTTCAGAGGAAGTAATAGAGTTTTGTCATCATTCTGAGGTTCCCACATCCACTCCGAATAGGAAGTTCTAGGATGAAAAATTGCAAGCTACCTTTTTCTTACTTCCTGCTGTTTAAGTTTATAAGTTTCTGTCTGTGACACTTAGAGGTTAGGAATCAGGGCATCATGATTAGTCACTCAGTAGGAGGGACTTCTCAAATACATATCTCCTGTGTTGATTACACCGGAGTCTGATGTCATACCAATTGGACTTGAAATGTAACTCAAACATTTCCCTATGTTGCTTTGTAAATACAGTGTATCAAGTCTGGGACAGGAATCTAAAATTGTCCATTATGAATGAAGGTGGCAATAAAAACCAGGAGGATGTTAAGCAAAGAGAAGTTCTATGAGGTTTTACACCACTCTGGTATTATTTTCATAATAAACAAGGCCCTGGAACTAGGAGTGAGTGAATTTCCAGTCCATTTAGGTACTTTTCTCTTTCGATCTACTTATCTAAAATCATCTTGCTCTCATTACTCACATAGGACATTCATTTTATAGTCTATATATACTGAATTCCTGTTATTTACATTTATAAATGTACTTTGAGGGCATCTGGGTGGCTCAGTGGTTGAGCATCTGCCTTTGGCTCAGATCATGATCTCGCATTGGGCACCCCCCGCAGGGAGCCTGCTTCTCCATTTGCCTGTGTCTCTGCCTCTCTCTCTGTGTCTCTCATGAATAAATAAATAAAATCTTTTTTTAAAATGTACTTTGAGTTATACTCATTCTAATATTTCATTGCTACGTTTTTAAAATATTGGCCTAGTTTTGTAATTATCCTAATAATGAAATAGGCAACTTTAATAAATTGAAGAATTAGATGCAGCGAGATTTCCTAATTTGAGATAATCTGCTCCCATGTCCTGAACGTCAGATAAGACTTAACAAAACAATCTTCATATGGTACGTGCGCAGACTTGAAGAATATAACAACTATTAAGAAGACAATAAGATTATTGGAAAACTCATAATTAACCTGATATTTCAAACTTCTATTGTTAGTGATATTATTCCTTCCTCTAAAACTGCCTGTTGTCTTGCTTATGACTTGATTAACTGGAGACCACCCTGGATTGTGCACCACACTTTGATGAGGACCTCCACTTTAGCACCTATGTAGATTTAGAATTATTCTCTACTTGTGAAAAATATCAGTGTGGTGTTCTGTGCTATGTTCGCTACTATAGCTCTTATTTTCCCATAGTATATTCCAATACTTCTAATAGTGCAATTTTCCCATTTTTCTGCTAATGCTTATTTCAGTGTAGTATTTTCATTATAGGCCACTGGTTTATCCCCCCCCCCATTTTAACCAAAGGGGAAATGGAGTTTTTAACTGTAAAATAGTTTTACCTCTAAAATGATTCAATTCCTTTCTTTATGATTTGATGATTTTTTTATTTTATTTTTTTTTATTTGATGATTTTTAATAATGTCATTGCATTTATTTCATCTATTAACTGGATGCTGAAAGTCGTTTTTTAAATTCCCAGCTAGGCCAATTCATTTGTGTTTTTACGGGCATGGTGATTTCTAGGGCTACAAGTTAATACCAGGTTAGCTTTCTGCCTTCCTAAATACACTTAAAACTAGTCCTATGTTATGAAATACTCTGAATACATTTAGAATTTTAAAATCAGATTGGAACTCCAATATTATTGAAAAAAGAAACAAAACAAATGGATTCCCATAAATTCTGTGTACTTGTGATGGCATAATCACATCCAGAGAATTATTTCACCATTAACTCTCTGTGCCCCTCCAATTGTGCTGTTTTTTTCTTCCGCAGTAAAATTGTTAGCAGTGTCAAGTGGTGAAGTTTGGAAAGCAGTTCAATTTTAAGATTAGAGTTCTCAATTTAAAAGCACTTTACTTTTTCCAGAAAATGTGTTTATCTCCACCATCTCCTCCCACCATGTCCTAGCATTTCTCAAATCCCCCCATCTCTTCTTACATATCTATTTGTCTTTCTGGTGTATGCCACGTTGGGAAGTCTCATTAAACCCGCATCTGTTCTCTTTTAGGAGAAACCTGATGCCAGCCCCACGTCACTTCAGCTGCGGTCCCAAATCGAAGTAAGCACAATGACTTTAATCATCTATTTTTGCTTCTGCTTTTTTTTTTTAAGTGATATTCTGTACAAATCAGATGAAGCCTACCGCTCTGTGCTGACGCTGTGCCTCTTTCTCCTAGGAGTCACTTGGCTTCTGTAGCGCCGTGTCAACACCAGAAGTGGAGAGAAAGTAAGTTTCTTTCCTTCTGCCAGGGATCAGAATCTCTAAGAAGGTGTTTCTCTTGGGTTCATCCTGATGAAAGTCGAATGGGTGATTGTGTTGTGTATGTACTGTGGAGCATGATGTCATCTTCCGTGTGTGTGTGTGTGTGTGTGTGTGTGTGTACATGTAGGTGGATAAAGGTGTGTTTGTAATTCAGTTGGTGAGGACTAAGGATTCTGCAAGGGTTATTGGTTTCATGCTGCTTATTGTGAGTGAACCCTAAATAAATATCTGGAAATGAGCAGAGAAAGGAAAAGGACAGTTAGGTCCACCAAGATGGGTTTTTTCTTTTAAAATAGTTTCTGATTCAGGATGAAAGTCATAAAGAAGTGAGGTACAAAAATACAACATATTCCAGAATAAAACAATGACTAAAAAAACCCAAAAAAACCCTGCTCTGCATCTGGCTTTGGTGGGTACCCTTAAAACAATAAATGTTTGTGACAAAAGATGGCAAATGCTCACTTACCTTTCCTGTTAAGGGTCATATTTTTGCTTCTTTGTCCTGACTTGGGCCCTGTAATTTTTACTGTCATGGGAGATAATTCTATGTTACATATTGTATCTGCAGGATTTCTTTTAGGCAACTTTAAAAAACAAAACAAAACCAGAAACAAAGCAAATGGGTTTTTTTGTTTTGTTTTTTGTTTTCTATAACGTTTCCCTTTTCTTTATTCCATCATAATTACACTAGAATGTTCTATCTGTGATTTTCTGAGGTAAAGAAATTTTAAGAAAGTCCTCGTCTTTAAACAGACACTTCCTTTGGCACAGAGCCACTTACACTGTTTTGTGCCAAGAGAAGCATAGAAGTGGTTTAGGAATAAAGTATTTCTGGAATGAAAAGCACACGTTGGGAGAGTGTGTGTGTGCTTTACAGCACAGCTCTGCCTAATCCATCCACGTGTGTGTGCTGCTGGCACAGAGGCAGCTTCAAAGCTGCTTTGCCAAAGCTTCAGTTCTCAAGAGGTTAAGCAGACTTGGTTCAGGACGAGGAACATTGGGGTGATGAGCAAACAACAAACCAAGGCCATTGCCCACTAAAGGTTAGAGAATAAATGTGCAATTAACTTGAATCTCCTTTGTTTTCATTGCATATAACCTCCTAGCAGCTTAGTAGTGTGGAGGCTGAAGTAGCTCAGAGATTTGAGTTGACGTTCATTTGGAAATTAGAAGTACTATGACAATAAATTGGGTTGAGTGTGGGTAGAAGCATGGAGTTAATGGACTGTAGTTTCTTCTGACCTAGTTTGCTACCTCTTTGACATGATTCAGGCTGAGAACTCAGGTGTTCCTCAGAATCTGAGCCCTCCGGGAAACAAGACAGGTTTTCCTTTCCTCCTAAGGGGAAGTGACTCACCAAATTTGTACTAATCTTAGGCTGGGTATTTCTTCTTCCCCTCAATTGTGGGTAGTCATTCTTTCCATGTTTATATCCTTCACTTAGTAAAATGTGGCATGGCTCTTGTGGCCAAGGGAGAGACTCTCAGCCTCCTCTGAGGTTAACAAAAAAATTTGAACACACACACACACCACTCAGTACTGTTGACAACCCCAACCCTTCCATCTGTAATACTGCCATTTTCCTTCTATTCTTATAAGTGATTTACTTAAACCCAGGTGTTTCTAAGTAACTTGGAAGTCTTAATCCATTTTGTCCTGTATTTCCCTATTAATTTTTTTAAAACTATGGTACTCTTGTTTTTCTTACTTTAAAAAACTTTTGAAAAATTTTAAACTTACAGAAAAGTTGCAAGAGTTGTGCAGTGAACTTCCATATAACTTAGACTCAGCAGTTTGCATGCTTATTCTCCCTCATAGACACAAATACACAGATTTAAATAATACTGTTAATTAAGATTATTGCAGAACTGGGGCACCTGGGTGGCTCATTTGGTTAAACACCTGCCTTTGGCTCAGGTCAGGATCCTAGGGTCCTGGGATCAAAGCCCCATGCTGGGCTTCCTGGTCAAGCTCTGCCTGCCACTGCCCCTGCTTGTGCCCTCTGTCTGTCTCTGTTAAATAAATAAATAAAATCTTTAAAAAAAAAAGATCATTGCAGAACTTTTGGAGAGTAAGTTACAAACTTTGTGATTCTCACTAATCAATACATCAGCAGGTATCTCCTAAGGACAAGGACATTCTCTTACAGAACTCCATAATATAATTACCAGGTAGAGGAATTTTAATAGGGATTTTCCTAATGTACAGTTCTTGTTGAGTTTCTCTAATTGCCCCAATAGTGTTTCTTGTAGCACTTTTTCTTCAACACTTAAAAAAATTACTCCTCACATTTAAATGCATCCCTCTTGTCATATTTAATCTGAAAGGATTTCTTGGCCTTTCTTTGTCTTTTATGGTATCGATGGGTTTTTAAGAGGATAGGCTAGTTTTGTGAAACAGTCCTCCACCTGGGTTTCTTTTTAGGATTCAGGATATATATTTTTGATGTGTTCTTTCCAGTGTGCATTGCATCATGATGTCAATTTATTCTATCATTGGTGATACTAATGTTTATCGTTTGATTGTGGTGATGTCTCTCAGGTTTCTTCTGAGAAGATAGAATTTTCCCTTTGCAATTTGTAGCTATTTGGTGGGGAGATAATCTGAGACTCTAAATGTCTTATTCCTCATCAAACCTTTAACTGACAGTTTTAGATTCCTTTAATGACTATTGGCTTTTATAGTGATGGTTACAAAATGATGATACTTATTCTTGAGCTGATAATTACTTTGGATTAAATCTTCCAAAAGGTTTTATTGTTGTTATTTTTAATAAAGTGGACACTCTAGGTCAGATTATAATCTGAGTTGTTTTGTTTGTATTGAATTATTTGGGTTTTTAAAAAAGATTTTACTTATTTACTCATGAGAGACACAAAGAGAAGCAGAGACATAGATAGACAGAGGGAGAAGCAGGCTCCCTGCAGGGAACCTGATGCAGAACTTGATCCCAGGACCCCTTGATCACCCCCCTCCCCAGCCAAAGGCAGACACTCACCTGCTGAGCCACTCAGGCTGTCCCTGTATTGAATCATTTGTATTTTTGTACTTGAAAATGCAAATATTTTGAAATGCAGAATCCTGCTCTTCTTCACATCAAAATGCTTGCTGGAGGATGACCTGGCAAACCATGGGTTGCGTCTGGTTAGTATCCGCCAAGTATCTGCCAACCAAAATATCCTTCTGAGTCAGCAGAAGTTTTCTTCTGCTTTCAAAAGGCAGGAGAACTAAGTAGACAAAAGTAGGAAAATCCTACAGCAGCCCGCCCTTAAACCAGAGACCTAGATGACAGGACCTCCCTCTCTACCCCCACTTGACTCAAGGGCTTCAGCACATCTTTCTCCCTCCGTTCTCTCCCAGTTAAAACCTGAGCTAAGGAAGGTGTTGGTTGTTAATTATAATGCAGATACCTGATTTCTAAAGAATACATCATCTCTGCCAGTAGGATTTACTGTTTAACAGGGTTTAAAGTCATGAGGTAAGGAATATAGCTCTGACCTGGAGAGACCAAGGAGGTGAATCTTTTGTGGGGATGACAAGCAGTGAGACGCCAGACAAGAAGTGAGAATATACCTGACATCACTGCACCCAGGAACCTTTGTCAGATGGGGCTGCTCAGGCTGTACTTGGCCTATAGATGTGTGACACCCACAGGATAGTTCCATCCTTACATAGAACAGACCTACCCCCCTCCCTCCCCCCCGCCCCCAGTCTGACAAAGGCGTTTCATCCTTATTTTCTTATGTTCTATCCAGTCTCTGTGCTTTCGCTGGAAAAAAAAAAAGAAAAGTAAATAAATGCCAAGGGAGCGTTTCATTTGAAACTCTTCTATTTATATTTGTTTACATTGCCTATTGATGAGACTATCTACTTTATTACACCAATCTTGGATCTGTGTCAACTGGCGAAAAAGCTGAACGTTAGTTAAATTTTTTTTGTTACTCACCGCTAGTCTGAGAAAAAAAAAAAAAAAGCAGTGTTCATTTGCTCTGTCCTTGTCCTTGTTCCACTCTAGGAGTCTAGGGGCTGGTACAGTGGCTCAGCTAAGTCTTCAGGAGGCCAGATTGTATTGTTTATTGTTGTTATTCTATGATTTTAAAGTGGCTGCTGCATCTTCCAGGTGGGAAGGAGAAACTGAGTGAAGAAGAGCAAAGAGTCACAGGCACATCCTTTAGAAAAGCTTTCCTAGAAATCCTGTCCAACACATTCCAGTTTGTCTCACTCATTTCTTCAAGCAGCAGCTGTTCACTGAGCCACCGGCTTTGTGTGCAGGACCTCATTCGGGATGCTAGGATGTATGATAAATGGACATGAGCTGCATGTAGGGAGATGTCATAAAAAAAATGTATATACTTTAAATGGTGCTATGGAGAAAAATAAAGCAAAGAAAGTAAGCCCCAAATTGGGGCACTTGGCCACCATTGCCATAGGAGAGCTTGGAGAGATCAGTGTTTTTTTGCTGACTGCTTTATTGCCCTGAACAAAATGAGTGTCTTAAGGAAGGCTAGAGACCAGACGTTGGGCAGGGAACTAGCAACTTTTTCCACAACAATTTAATCTTTTATTTGTATGTGTATATCTGGAACAGGGTAATCTAAAAATTTGCTAATGTCTAATGAATAAGCTGTGTGTCAAGATGATTTAGATTCATTACATTCAAGGAAGCCAAATGTAGGGGATCGCATCTGGTTATTATTTCTCTCTGTCTATCTAGATTGGAAGTAGTCTTAATAAGGTTGGTTCTGCAAACTGGAAAAGAAAAAGCAGGAAATAGCAGGTAACATTTACTGAGCCCTGATTATGGGCCAGGAACTGATCTAAGCACTTAACATTGACTCAATTAATACTCACAACATCCCTGTGTGGTTTGCTATGATATTATTCCCATTGGCAAATGCAGAAACTGAGGCACAGAGAGGTTAATAAGTTGCTCAAGGCTACACAGCTAATTAGGTGGCGGAGCG